GACCATCATATAATGATCAGTAGTGACAGAAGTCCATAGATCAGAAGTCAAACATATCCGGCTCGAAAGAGACACTAAGTTGGATTTCAAATTTCCCTTCTCTTTCTCATAAACTTTGATCACATCACTTCTTGCTGTATTCCTTGATATGTGCTTCACATTAGGGTTGAGGTAACTAAACAACTCTCTAGTAGCTTCATGCTCTACAAAAGAGTAGGTATAATTGTGTTTGATTATCGCTCTTGTTAGCATGTCTCTAAAAATAGCTTGGTTGAATTGTACTGTGGAATCATCAACATTGACCTCGCGATTGGGACAATTATCTAAATAACGCAACAAGTTTTTTGTCCCATGGCTAGCCATGTAAGTTACTTCGCACCACTTACATTTAGCCTTTCTCATGCCATCACCATCCGTGAATTTTTCAAATTCAGACCATACAATCGAAGTACATTTTCTTGAATGCTTAGAGCAAGTAGAGTTATCTTCTTCATCCTCATGAACTAAGGATGCAATTCTACGTCTCTCGAATCGTTCGGTAGTTGAATATTCTTCTCGATCCTCGTTAGCTCTTGACAATTCAACTAATTAGTTGGAGAAAACATAAATTAGAACAAGTTCATGATTGCACATTATGAGTTCAACATAAGCGGTAAAGACCGAGTTCATACATGGAAATGTTAATCAAATTAATAATGTGTCACTTGGAATTTTAAACCCCCAAACCCAAGTCTCCACTATCCATCAAAAAATTGCAGCATCCAACTGCCCATCCTACAAGACTATACAAAAAGCTCCAAACAAACAACAACCTTATGGTGACGGAATCATCCGGATATCAAATAGGTGTATCATAGCAACATCACAATTAGCATACTCATTATTCCTGGCTTGTATCAGACAAACCAAAGAGAACGTGTTCCAACTATTTCACACACATACATAAACAGAGCAAGCGAATATAGAAAAACAGAGCAATTAGACGATAATAAAATTGAAAAGCCACATAACCAAATGCGTGCTTTCCCAAAACACATAAGATCAAAGAATAAACATGTCTGCGAGCTTTTTACTTTATTATCATGTCGCGACTAATGAATAGCGATTAACACAGTGATCTCAACAGACTGAATTTTTTTATGAGAAGAATGTATTCTGACTATCCTAAATCACCTGCAATATGTTGAAGACTTGCGCTGCTATGTACTTTTGAAGTACAACACCCTTCTACTGCAATTTGTATGGATGAAGGCAAAGCAAAGGTTTCGGATAAGCTCTATTCAATACAGGTCACCACTCTTTGGCCAAAGAACTTGCAATGAAAATCACCCAAATACTTCAACCGGAAGAATGACCCAATTGAGAAGTGTGCTGAATCAAGCATGTCAAGCACATTAAAGAAGTTTTCATTTTCGTATTAGAATATTGTGATTCAATTCACTACAAAGCATAAGAAAGTACGAAACTTCCCCAGCACGAACCCAAACACCTTGAAAACAAAATTGTAGGCAAACTCAACAAAAAGGTAAGCAAATAGAGAAAACCTAATACCCGGAGACAAAAACGCGGGTCTCTTCGAACCCCGTCGAGTACGAGAAGCTCGGTTCGTACGTGCTGATCGGCCTCCCTTAGAGCTATGAGACTCGATTCGTCGAGGCAAACGAGACGAAGACCAAGTACTCGATCGTCATCGGGGGAGCGAACTCGGGGGAGCGAAGTTCGTGAGCACATGCCGGAGGTGCTTGGGACGGCGGGGGTCGAGGTGGTGGCGGCAGAGTCGTAGGCTTAGATAGTCCTCAGGAATTCAGTGGCGATCGGAGAGATTTAGCCGCAAGAAACGGAGTTCAGGGTTTGCGAGGAGTGCGGGACGGGCGATATTGAGTCGTCGGAGAACCTCGGCTACGATGGAGATGGGCGGCTCGAAGTCGGCGATAGAGGCGGAGGTGGCTGCGAATTCGTGGAAGCGATAAGCGAAGAAAATGGAGAGAAGATCATGAGCCGGGCTTTTTCATAATGGGTTGTTAAATGAGTCATAAATAGATTCATAATATACCCATTTAAGATCCATATATTTTGGCCTTCTTGTGTTTGAAATCCATTAAGGCTGATTTGGAAAAAAAAGAATGACCCATTAGCGACTCATTTAAACAAACGTGGGTTCATAAATGGATTTTGAACCCATTTGACAGGTCTAATCGTGACTACAGAATCTCCGTTCCAACTAGGATTACAACCACAAATTGAGGGCGTTGTCAATAGGATGAAAGATCCGCATTAAGAATGCATAAGAGAAAGCAGATTTCAGTAATGTTACCATCTTCGGATCTTTGAATCTGTAGTAATGAAATTGACGTGGCCGAGACCAAACTTACACACGGAAGAGTTAAAAAAAATCATGCACAATAATAAGACGAAACGAAAATATAAATAAAAAAGCCCCGCTGATTTCCGGTTCTAGAGTCAACAGATTGGTTCCCGATTTCAAAACTGGAGAATGGACCTTGACAGGGCCGATTCCAAATTTCTATCCATCCTGAAATTGATCGCCCATATTCACTACCATTTCGAGTATCGTGTGGAGAGAGAGAAATACGGATGCTAACATTCATCTCGAATTCAATGGGAGAGGATACTTTGTTACTCCATTGCTCAGCTGTGTTGCCCGTCCCACTAGCCCGATATTGACATGTGCCCCTTCTCGTCTTCCTCCTTTCACGTGACGTTCAGTCCACTGTCAAATCATGAGACCAACCCTTCCTCCCTCCCTCCGCACCATCCTCCTACTAGTCGTTGGTCACCACCGCTCGACGCACCACTGCACTGCTGCCACCATGGCCGACTGCCACCGCCACCCACCTCCACCTCCGCCGCAACTATCAAGTTGCAGCCCCACGTGGGGCTCCTCTCTCTCTCTCTCTCTCTCTTCCCAGGACCACATATTCCAGTAGAGATCTCCAGCACCACAAACTCAGAGAGAGAGAGAGAGAGAGAGAGAGAGAGAGAGAGAGAGAGAGAGAGAGGAATTTGTGCGAGGTATCTTCAACTGCAATTCAAAACGGGAAGAAAAGAGATGCGTGTGGGGGATCTCATAACAAGGGCAGATGATCGCAGCGCGGATTGCGGCACAGTATCCTCGGCCTCATCATCCAAATGAAAAATGCATTTTTTCTTTATGTTGTTCCTTGGTGGTGTATAAGATAAACAATGCAATCTAATACATTACGCTAAAAGTGACTTTCTACATAAAATTGGCTTTAATTATACATGATATGCGGTAAAATTGACTCAACGAGAAAGAGAACGAGAAAGTAATGACGTAATTAGTAGTAAGATTGACTCAACGAGAATGATAGAGTAATTACGTCTATGGCTTTACATAAAATTGACTCTATTATACATGATACATGATACGCGATACGATATGTTTGCAGAAAAAATATACTCATGTATCAAATGGAATGATATGAAGAGAAAAATCGGACTCACATGCTCGCGATATGTTATACTGTACACAGCAAAATTACTTCGATTCTATCGTACACAACGTGTAGCAAAATACAAAAATTTGGAGTTAAAGTTACTCAGAGGATGATGATTACTGGCAAAAAGAAATGACCAGCCGCGCACCAAGAACGATAGCACCAACGCGAGATAAACGAGGGGAGGGAGGGTTTTGGCTTAATATACAGAAGATAGGGATAATGACACGAACAGTCCCTGAATTTTGATCAAATGTATATTTTGATATTTGAACTTTTAATTTATTCAATATAGTCCATGAATTTTAGCCTAATGTTCAATTTGGCCCATAAACTTTTAATTTGTTTAATGTGGTCTCTGAACTTTTGGTACATGTTCAATTTAGTCCCTGAACTTTATGAAAATGTTCAATGTAGTCCCTGAAATTAATGAAAAGATTATATTGAATATTTTTATATAGTTCAGGGACTAAATTGAACATGTATAAAAAGTTCAGGGACCACACTGAACAAATTAAAAATTTATGGACCACATTATATACTGGATCAAAGTTCAGGAGTTATATTGAATAAATTAAAAATTTATAGACTATAATATATATTGGATCAAAGTTTAGGGAGTGTTTGTATCATTTTTTTTCCGTAAAGATAAATGGGAACTTTTCTTACAACCGTTAGGCTCTACTGGAAACTCCTTTCTGACAAGCAAAACCTCCGAGAAACCACCGCGGTCCACACGCCTCTCTTTTCAACAGAAACACGCGTCTCACGTTTTCTCGACCAGCCCACAAAAACGCAAACGTTTTCCTGTTTTGTCTCCAAACGCAGCGCTGAAACGACGCCGCGTCGTCGGTCGCTCCAGAAGCCGCTCGCTCCCTCCCTCCCTCCCTCGCCACCGAATATTCTGATCCTCCCGATTCTCGGCAATTCGAATAATCCCTGTCCCCGATTTTTATTTTTTTTTATTTTACTTTTCATGAAACTCCCAGGAAAAAAGAAAATGAATTTTTCTCTTAAATTAATACCCCAAACAGATACGCAACTAATTTTTTGATCATAAAAAATTTCAAATGTGACAAATATACCCAAAACTAATTTTTGGACCGTCAAAAATCCCAATCTAGTACATTTGCGACAAATTTACTCCTTGCGAATTTCCGTTAAATTAAATTAATATCACGAAAAATCACAAATCGATACACTTATGCCTTCAAATCAATACACTTTTCAACCGTTACATGTCATTAAACTTAGCAATTTAACAGTAAAATTTAACGGAAATTAACGAATGATAAATTTGTCACAGATATACCAGTTTGATACTTTTTATGGTTAAAAAATTAATTTTGAGTAAATTTATCTTACGCATATAAATTTGGAGTTTTTTTTGGTGGTATTAACTTTTTTTTTTCTTCTCTATCTCCCCTTTATTGATTTACTCTTTGGGTGTGCGTGGGCGGCTGGCTGTAAATTCAGGAGTCGCTTCATTTACGTGAAATCTTTCGCCGCTTGCGTCTGTTTACTCTCTCTATTTTGCGTCGAGCAAGAAGGACCCCTAAATCCTCTCTCTCTCTCTAGCTCTCTCTCTCCTTCTCTCTCTCTCTCTCTCTCTCTTGCTCGCTCGATCAAGAATCGATCTTCGTCTTTCAAACGATTAATGGATACTTCATCCCTCGATCTGAGCCTGCTGTTGTGCTGCCTCGTCTTCGTCCAGTTCGATTCCATCGATCTCTTGCTCTCCACGTCTTCCCATCCCCAGATTTTTAGTCAACCTTCCTGTATCCCCTCTATCTGACCAAAGGCAACCAAAAAAAAAAAGAAAAAAACCCAAGCAGAAATCGATAGGGGATTTTGCGCGTGTATTCTTTCCTGCCTCGGAGCCGTCCGTCGTTGCCGGAGCAGCAATGGGGAAGCGTGAGTTGCTGAACCCATCTTTCTTTTTCGGCTCTTTGTCCTGTTTCTCGATTAAAGTTTGGTTTTTTCTTTCATGGGGTTAGGTTCGTAATCGTGGGTTGCTTTCAGGCTTTTAGTAGATGTTCGATTGGTGAATATTGGTTGTTGTTGGGGGTTTTTTTTTGCAAGATTCTTTATATGGGCCGCGGTTAATGGTTGCGAATTAACGTGATTTTGGGTAGATTGGTTCCTGTTGTTGTTATGATGCCGTGGGTTTCGTAAGGATCTTTCATCTGATTCTTTTTTTCTGTTTTTTCTTTTTGTTAAGAATTGTGGTGCTGATGAATTGGGTTCTTGCAAAACAGGTAGCTCGCAGCGTAAACATGCTACAATGTTGGATAGTGATGATGATAACAGTAGTGTAAGTTCGTCGTCCACTACCCGTTCGGACCACATGTCAGTCAGTGCGAACGAGGAAGTACAGCTCGATAAAGATAGTTTGCTTGATCAAGCTCTTGATGCTTTGTATGAGAAGAGGTAATCTATAACGTGCAGCTTTTGGACCATTTATAGTCAGTTTCTGTTGGTTACTGCCATTTTAAATATTGTCCGTGACATGCACTCTTGTCTCACTGTGCGTGTTTAATAAGGAGGTATCTTTAGTTGCTGGTATTTCCGTTTTAGAAACGAATGTTTCCTTCTGGTTTTGTTTTACTTTGCTTGAACAACTATCTGTCACTATGCTGACCCCTGGACTAATATTTTCGTGTTTTCGATGTTTTCTTCCTAATGAAGGGGTTCTACACGGGAGAAAGCATTGTCAACAATAATTGAGACTTTCAATAGTGGCCTGCAGCATGAGTTTGTGGAAAAGAAGTGAGCATCTTCATCTTTTATAACAACCATTCTGTTGGGTCAAAGTTGCCTGTGTAGAACTGAGAAGATGATTGGAATATTTGCAAAGATTTAAATCGCATTCTGGATTTTAGATTTGATAAGTCACCTGAAATAGCATTAAAACTTTTTCTTTGTGCATTTGAGTTATTCGTCTTGGAGAAGCTCTCGAATCTGTTTATGCAGATTGCAGTTAAACTGGGTGAAAAGATGATATCTATTTTCAGACTATCATTTTTTTTTTCATAGTGGACGCTTGATGTGGGACGTGCAAATCCCTTTTTTTTTCTATGCCTGTTTTGTGATTAAATGAAGTTGAGAAATAATTGTTTGTTATCCAGATTCGCTACCTTACTGCATCAGTGCATAGCTTCAATAAAGAAAGGTTCTGCCAAAGAGGTATCATTGGCATCACACGCTATTGGTGAGTATGTAATGAGTCTCATGTTTGACATATGATCTTTCGTGGGAAATTTGGTTTAATCTATGTGGAATTTCTTGTCTTAGGGTTGTTGGCTTTGACTGTTGGTTGTGGTGATAATGCACGGGAGATTCTGGAAGAAACTGTTCCTACACTGTCACAGGCCCTCAAAATAGGAGCTGATTCCTCAAAAATATCTGCGGTATAAATCATCTTTGGGCACTAGAATAATCTAGTTTTGTTACTCCTTATCTGGCTAAATCTGGTGTTTGTGTGCCTCTGAAATTCTAGTTATTGGAATGTTTGGCTATTGTCACCTTTGCTGGAGGGAATGATCCTGCCGAGACAGAGAGGTCAATGCAAATTATGTGGCAGCTGGTTCACCCAAAGCTCGGTTCCAATGTAAGCATCGTTTCTTCTCTTTTGTGTCTGAGTTGCATAGCGCACATCACATCATTGCCTGAAGCTTCACGCTTCTTGAATCAGTATGGAAATGTGGAACATTTGTATGAGATAATATTCCGAGAAGTTTGCTGGTCCTAACTTGTTTTGCATGTCATGCTTTTCATAATTTGTTTTACTCCATTTTTGGTCTTTTTTCCAACAACTAACGACTAGTTTGCTTTCCAATTAAGGTGGCTGCTGCTAAACCTTCGCCGGCAGTAATAACAGCTATGGTTTCTGCTTGGGCTTTTCTCCTTACATCTATAGAGGGTTGGAGTCTTGATCCGAAAATTTGGCAAGAGTATGTGAAGGTCTTGACATAGTTATTTCTTTGTGATTATTGCAATTGACCCATCATTGGCTAATGATCTCCAATGGAGAGTGCAATCAATAACTTGTGCTTGGGGAAATTGGTTGAGACTCTGGATGATGGATATTCTCATGAACTCCCTCTTGATATGCAGGTCTATTTCATATTTATCTGGATTACTAGATAAGGATGACCGATCAGTCCGCATTGCTGCTGGGGAGGCATTGGCTGTGATTTTCGAGATGGGAAGCCTTGAAAAGTTCTGTTCTCAAGTTAAAGACACTGGTGGCGGCTCCACTCAAGATGGAAAGGAGTTGGTGCACATGCACGGTTTGAAAGCAAAAGTTTTGAACCAAGTCAGAAACCTCTCAGTGGAAGCAGGTGGTAAAGGTTCTGCCAAGAAAGATCTAAATAGCCAGCGCAACTTGTTTAAGGATATACTGGAATTTCTTGAGGTGATTCTGTTGTCTTGAGATTCTTTTTTGTGCGTTCTGGGTCAAAGTTTTCTTATGCCGTCCTTCTTATGATAGTATGGATCATTTCCTGAGACCTCAATGAAGATAGGTGGAGATGCTTTACAGACATCAACATGGTGTCAGTTGATACAGGTTTTTGTACTTTCTATCCTTGTTTTAACTGGTTTCTCATTTACTGGACAAGTTTCTTCAATCAGTCGCAAGTGGTGTAATTAAAACTTTTTGAACAGTTGAACTTTGTAAAGCACTTTCTCGGTGGTGGTTTTGTGAAGCACATGCAGGTTTGAGATGTCTTCTCTAAACTGTGGGTTGAATTTCTAGTTTTGCTTGCATTTTGGCACCCTCTGATGACACTTTTATCTCCTGTTCAGGAGAACGAGCTCCTCCACGATATTTTTGGCTTCGCTCCGAAGAAAAAGTATAATTTAGGAGTTGAACACCAAATGTCTAGTGGCGAAAAGGTTTGTATAGCTTATCTGGCAGAGTTGCTTGCTGACATGGTTTCCTCAATTGATTTTTCCCGTATCAAACTTGTAATGATGGTTGCCAAATGGAGTGGCAATACAATTTTTCATGATACGCTACCTCTTTTGCGTCCTGGCATGTGCTTGCCGTTACTTTTGCATCTGGAACCTAAAAGTTAATGCTTTGTAAACTCGATCATGTAACTCCATTATTTGCTTGACAAAGTAGCTTGAATCTTTCTTCATTTGTTATGGACCTATGCATATCTTTTTTTATCCCTCGGCTTTCTTCTTGCCTTTTTAGTCTAATGGCTATTCATTTGCTGTTACAGAGGTTGTACAAGTCCCCAAACTCGGTCTCTAACAAGGCGAGGACCCGATTCTTGAATAAGCAGCGCATGTTGTCCGAGGTAACTTTGTCCTTTCTCTAGATCCTGATTCTTAGGGTGCCAAAGTAGCTGCATAGTCTGGGTAGGTGTACTTATAGGTAGACTGAGAATAACGACACATCTATTCAATGTGTGTGGCTTAAAGCAGAATATCGGAATTGTGCTAAACAAGAAGACATATTGGCTTCCATCTTGGTTTCAGAACTGTTCTTTTGTTGTCTTAATCCATGGTTAGGCTCCATATGATTACTTTTGTTACTCGAGATATTTATTCCATGATGTTTTAGCATTGCGTGTAATTAGTTAATGATACTGATAGGAACATATCGAACTGTCTTACGCGTGATTAACACTAGCATATATAGAGCCCTTCGCTTCCATTCCTTTACTTTCTCACTGTGTGAGTTTTTTTTTCCAAATCATTTGGAGGACCGGCGATTAGCTCATCTCTCCTCTCTTTTGCCGGCAATGCAGGGTAGAAACGTCGGGCAATTTGCAGTGGGTGCGGGTGATGATGAATTCTGAATCGGGTAGCGCTCACTACCAATATGTACTTCGCCGCTGTAATCTGACTTGGCGGTTTAAGGCTTATATTCGATGAACTTTGTTTCATACTTCATAGGTCCCATTTTAGATTTGCTTTCATATATGTGATTTGGGCACCGACTGCCAACTGCCCATGTTAAAGTTCACACTATTAGTTGAAAAAGGTACATGCTATTCTTTATTCTCTCTGTCAGTTACACTCCCATCTCTGCTTCCCCGTGTAGAAGCCGAGCGAAATGGATGGACAGATTGAATCGAGATCATAACGCTCTTGTAGTATTATGGAATGAACATCTTGATGGAGTGGAAATCAATAGTGTTGATGAATCTGAAGAAAGTTTACCAAAGTGGGAATAATTGGTAACTAATTGCTTATTTATCAGTCGGGTTTTTTGTTCAGTGTGGGAAATTCGTGTTCTACCTAACTCAGATTCTATTGCCTGGCTAAAGAATTGGGGACTCTTCATGTTTAATTTGACAGAATAGGGTCTTTCACAAAAGGTCAAAATCAAACTTTGTCCTCTACTCTTTCACGAATTGGGTTCAATTTGCACTTGGACATGTCTGTTTCGGAATGATTCAACTTGGCAACTTGCGAGTATGCTGAGACGACAAGCAGCTTGGGTTGATGCTGCCCACGTCTATACAGCAAATTCCTAGCTGGCGAAAGCGGACAAAGCCGGAGGCGACGCTCAATTTGAAAATCTTAATTTCAAAATCTTTAAGTTCGTTTGTTTCGTAAAAAATAAATGATTTAGAAAATATATTCCTAATAACGATTGTTTGTATAGCTTAAAATAATCGGTCAAATTTTTTTTTATCGACAATAATTTATGTCTAAATGTTTTCGTGAACGATAAAAATATTTTTCGTCCGTTCATTATTGATTGTTTCTAGGAAAATATTTTCCAAATTATTCATTTTTCGGTAAATAAACTTGTAAAGAAACATAGATTCACCGGAATAAGGAGGACAGCGTATGTTGTGAATTCCACGTCTCCGTGAATACTGATATTACGTCTTGACACTCGACAACCTAGGCTGATCATCACACCGCGAGTCAATAAGCAACCTCTGCTGATGACTGACTTGGAACAATGTAAGGTGTAGAACCGATGCAATTTCAAGTTTACTGCAGGTAACAACCACATTCCAGACCCGAGCAATGTCGAGTTCTGCAGATGAGAACACTTTTTGACGACGCCCCGACGTCTCTTCAGGTTTACTGGAGTCTAGCTCGTGCGTCGTCTACGTTCTACCGATCTCTCTATTAAGTCATCATCGAAGTCTAATCTCTCTCAAATCAGTGAACCAACTTAACAAAATGTTACCCATTTAGTACCGAGAGTCGCCATTTCCATAGCTAATGAAAGACGGTCGATGGTTATTGAAATAATTTGCCAACGGAGTCAAATGAGGATTAAAATACTTTGGTTAAAGTGTTGGATTCTATGAGTTTCCTTGTGGTCTCCATTCACGGTTCCTTCAGGGAACAGGTTTCCCTCCCCATAAGAAACGTACACAAGACATGCGTACCTTCCGGTTCACTACCACTTCTCTATCTTTGCGTTATCTCGAGGAAATGGTTTAAAAGAAAACAAGTCTAGAATTTCTCATTTTGCTCACCGCCTTTCCACGTATACTATAATCCTTTGAATTACCCGCAAAGTCAATGGATGAAATACCAGCAGGTTGCTTCTTATCTTGAGAAAGGATCCAAAAGGGTTGCAAGGTCCGCACTTCACCGGTACGAACTGCATTATCTTAAAAGATGATTGACCGCATGATTATGTGAGCAACACGATACCTTTTCTTTTTCTTCAGTTAAAAGTTAGATGGGGGGAGGAAGATAGATAGATATCGAGCCTGACACATCCATCATCACCGAACCAAGCTCTTGGTTCCTTAAATGCGTCATTCAAACCACAGGGAAAACATTTGTATAGGGTATGATGTGAACGATATTTTCTTTCTTTTGTATGGAAAGCGTACTTACAGTCACAAAGACAACATAAAGATTAAGCAAAATATCTCCTTGACTTATCGCAAACATATGCTTCAAAGTACCTACCTCACAGTCATCAAATGTACGCTCGAATACCGGCATCTTACTATCCTCCACTACCCTGGCAAGACAAAAAATAGTTCATCGAGATTGTCTGAAAACTTGGGAAGGAAACAAAGGTGCTTCTTCTTGTGCCTATGGACATTATACCCCTTCTGAGTACTCTGAATGACCCCGTGTTTTCATAGAGCCATGCACATGACACCCCTTCAAAGTATGTGTTTCATCTGTACCCGAGAGAGAATTTCTTCAAAAAATTCCTACTTCAGAATATCAACTAGCTCGGCCTCTAGTTTCCCTTCATTTTAATTCCACCGCTGCTTCATTCTATTCAAAAGTGCATGATCAAGAAACAAGAATGCTTGCCCCAACAAAGACGAACCAAGCAAGGTGCGATTGTCACTAACGACCGCTCAGGCCAGAGAAGTGCTTATTCATGGCTCTATCCTTCCTATAATGATTTCTTCCACCTCCTCTTCCTCTTCCCCTCTGGTTTCCAGAACCTCCTCTTGTGTTCGCCTCAGAAGCGTCTGACCGTTCACCGTCCTCTTGCTCATTCGACTCTCTGTGCCTTCCGCCGCCTCTTCTTCCCCTACCCCTAGAATTTGAACTCCCACCTCTTCCTTCTGTCTCAGGAAAATCAGAATGACTTTCTCGTTCATTCTGAGACTCCACCAGTTTCTTAACTGCACCCAAGGGAATATTCCCACCTCGTCCAAGACCATGAATCAATTCACTTTGTGCCTGCGTGACCAACGATGCTTCACCAGCATTCGCCACAGCAATAGAGCCCTCAACCTTGTAGCTGTAATTCTTCCCATCCTTAACATAGTATTGAGGTTTCTTCCTAGAACCCCATTTTGCATTCTGTGTGTCTTGGACGGGGTGCCTGGAATCCGCCCCACTTGACTTCCCCAGGCTTGAGCTGATTTTGTCACTGAGTATTTCATTTTCCTCAAATCCTGACTCAACCCCTCCCAGACCAAGATCATCGAAAGAATCATCATACTCGTCTTCATACTCGTACTGTGAAATGAAGGCAGATGTCCTAGCTGAATCCTTTTCATTTCTGTGATCTAAAATATTGGAATCAGGTGCTTCAGCTTGAGATTTCCTTACATACCTTCCAGCTGAATATGAGGATGATAATGACGAACCCCCATCCCGTTGCTCCTGAACTACAGGCACAGTGTTTGAAGAAGGGGCAAATACAGATTCTGATAACTTTCCTTTCCCTTTGTCATTAACCTTCCCCTTCCCTTTATTATTAATCTCTAAAGTGGATGTAGTCTTTTGTATTGGAATGGTCTCTAGCGAAGGGTCCAAAGATTGAAGATCTTCGTGAAGAGTTCCTTCTAGAATTCTCTGAATCACCTCCTCCGGATTCTCATCATACACTTCCAGGCAAGCCGCTAGGTATCCTTTACCATAATCAGGAAAGAGGTCCCTAATTTGACTAATCTTGGACTCCAGAATTGCAGAGTTTTCATCCCGCTGGACCACGTCGCTGGTCTTACTGACGGGTGCATGAGGTGATTTCTTGGTACTTATGGGTAGATAAGACATCAATATCCCAGATAAATATTGAAATTGTTCCTTATCCATACATATCCATCCTGCATTTAAGTTACATAAATGGAGGCTATTAAAGAGAGCTATTGTATGTTTTTAAAAAACATGCTTTTCATTCAATAAGGCAAACACAAACCAAGTGACCTGTTTTAGAATCATGGAGATATTTCCATGAAACTCCACTTTTTTTTTTTGTCTGAAACTCCACTTCAATTACCTTCTCTTTTTTTCCAAAAAAAAAATGTCAAGTTACTAGAGAAAAAAAACAATGCATAAAAAAAATACTAATTCAAAAGATTGCATGACGGAACTCTTCTATTGCACATTTAAGAAGCTTCTCTACCAGAGGTAATAGTGATAGAAGAATCTTTAGGGGCTAATTCTCCTTTTCTTTTTTTAACAAGCCAAGGACAGCAAACATTAATGTAATGGCAGACAAGAACTAACACAGCATCAAAATTTCAAGCTACAGCAAAATCATCCACCACATCTTACACCAAGCTTAATCCTTCCTAATCACGAAAGTAGACTTTCTTTTCCTTGGATAAAGGCCAACATTTCATTATAATAAACAAGGAGAATTAACCCCGCTACACCGAGAGTAACCTGGTAAATCCAAACTTTAGATGCATCTAACTTCTTCCTATAGTGGCTCTCACTCAACTACATTAATAGGAATCATCAACAATGCCTGTGTGAATATTTGGTATTTTCTGCCTGAAATTATCATGCCAGGAAGACATAACGAGAAATCTATGCTCCAGAATATTACGAAAATATTACAGATGATACTGCTGCAAGATGCAGCTGAACTCTATGTCGTCCAGTGTACGTGACACTAATTTGTGCCTATTACATTAGGTATGGGGTAACTAATCCTAGTACGATGAAATTCCTCAAAAGAATGCCAATATGCTCATGCTAGGGCTACAGCAAAACCTGATACAATGATCAATGCATCGGAGGAGAAAATCACAGCATTCAAAGTATTAGGACCACATACCTCCATCTTGCAAGCTCCTAAGTCTGCTCATTACTTGGTAATTCTTCTCGACACTTTGAAGAAACGTCTCAATATTCTGACTCCCCTGTTCTTGGAGAGAAAAACTGTTCAGCTCCCTAAAAGTTTGAATCACAATGTCTGCCCTTACGACAGGATCTTCTACTTTTGCTGGGAATATCTTGGTGGCAGTAGGCATGTAATGGCCATCTTCAAACAATTCATCGCTAAGATAACAAGCATCGAGTAATTTCCAACCAAATGTAACTATTCTCATTGATAACATTTTCAAACTAATAGAGATGTTGGACTTTGCGCTATCTTCTCTTGATGAAAAGATGACTCTGAAACCCCTCCTTAATGATGGAAGAAAAGAATCATGTAGTTTCACAAGGGTAGGGAGCAATTCTTCATTCCCATAACTGCATGAATTAATTGGATGGTGTAAGAGGCAAAGTGAACTCTCCTAAAGTTTTCAACTGGAATGTAATAAAGTTGATATTAACTGCAAAATCATCCCTTAAATCATTGGACAGGAAACAAAAATTAGCTGAGGGTTGAAGAACATGAACGATATCAAACAATCCCTGACCCATTTTACAGAAGTGACCTGATTTTAACTTAGAAAAGAAGTGAAGAAAAAACACAGATTAGCACATAGACAGAGATTCTACGAGCCAAATATGTCAACCACCTAAAAAGATTCACATACCAATTCTCCCACTGAGACGAAGTTAATGGAGCTTGATTGAGCAAAACTTTGAATGACATAACATCTCATGTGGAATCAAATTTAATCTTTCATGGCTTCTAGTTGTACCCGCATTCTCTTTCTTAAAAAATAAACATAAGTACCTTGTTTCAACAGGGCATGAGAAGAGCACCCCTGCAAGTTTGTATGCAGTCACAAAAGCGTCCATAGATGAAACTGCATCATTTATAAAGTCCATGACCTATCAACAAAACAGCAAGTATGCACAATCACAAAGAGAACCTCGATACAGTCTCCATCCATTACGAGAAAGTAATGCAGGCAAATTATTTCTTGTGTGATTATATTGCTAGAGTTCATTCATAATTTAGGCTTGCTCCTTGTTTAATGCAACAGGGAAAGCATTTCATTACAACCGTCTCACTTTGCATGACATAAGTTACTCAAGTATACTCGAAGTAAAAGGCCAAAAGTGATAATAACTCCTTTTGCAAAAAATAAGCAAATTAGCACAAAGTCACAATTTTACCTATTGAAAAGTTCATCCTTTCAGGAGATATGTAAGCCACAAAGAGGCAAAATTTTAAAAATATCAGACAAGACATGACACATTAAGGTCATGGATTCCAATCTATCTTTCTAGTATAAAAGAGACCATCACCTCCAAAAAGTCTGAGCAACGCTGATTGACTACATGATCTTCATGGCTTCCAGAAGAAAACAGCAACTGCACAAAATTTCAAAGAGAAAGTTGATAGTTATATGTAATGAACTGCAAGTAGAAAATGCCTCCATGTCTCGGGAAACTTTTCTGAAGAAGTTATAAGAGAAACTCAACGTCACAATCAAGATTTAATGCATACAAGTACAAACTTCAAATTGAATCGATTGAGTATGCAAAATAGAAACTGTAGAAAGAAACTAAACAAGCATAGAAGTTATATGTCAGGGGAACTAATAACCAATTGTCAATACAGTAATTGCAGACATGGATGGCCTATATCGAGATTTCGGGCCTAACAGCGACTACTGTAGTTTAAGATGATATAATAAAAAAACTCAAAAGTACTTAAAATACATGAAGATGATTAGAAGAAGTGAACTACTGACCGCTAGAAAGAGATCAATTATTTAATTGAAGAACTTCGCTTGAAGGAGAACATTCTTTTTAGTGAAGAACTACCATATAAACTCTTAACAGTCCCGCCGTATCTTAGATGATCAGAAATAGTACCTCCAAAGATGCGCTGCATCGATCATACATTGTTTGGACTATACTCAGGAAGTGGGACACCATACTAATCAAATTATCATGGATCCAAGGTTGCACCTTCAAAGCATTGCAAACCTAGAAAAATAATCATGTAAATGGTTTATTACATGCAGTTGTAGAGACATGTTAATAAGTAATAAGTGCTAATAAATGATAAAGTGAGATGACATTGAGGGCAACAAATGGATCCAACAGAATATCTTGAAACCTTCAATAATCTAGTGAAGAAACTTAAACCTTTAATATCTAATTGTTGGTAACTAATGGTGAAACTTACACGTCGAATTAATTAATCATCTGATTACCCACGACTGATGATCCCTGAGGGAGCAAGCATATTGTATCTAAGTATGACCATCACTTTCTTGCTATTTCACATGTTTCATAACACCAAAGTCACTTTCTTGCTATATCACATGTTTCATTTCTTTTTCTTTTTTCTTAAATTTTGATAGTTCTCACCCTTCTTTTTCTTTAATGGAGTAATACTTCATAACAGAAGAAGAAAATTCCTGGTTAAAACAATTGCCAAGTGCTCTAACTCAATGAGTATGCCTGATAGAAGCACCTCAAACCACCTGCCCAAAGAAAGCACATAAGGGGGACAAAAGAAAGCAAAAGGAGGAGATGAATTTCAGATGGCAATTGAGAGTTCAGTGAATAACACCTCCAAAGGGACAGCGTTTTGTATCGCACAATTATTATATAGGTCATCAAGTAATCCTTATGTCCTTAAAATGCTCACCAGCAATCTTGTCAGATCTTCATTTTCATGACCATATATGGCACATATATCCAACAATTTAGGCAAGTCAAGCAACTTCTTTTCCTGCAAAAGAACTACAGGTCGAATTACTTAATGACACATGCATGAACAAATAAAATAGCTGAATAGCATTTGATCTCATGTAATAAGGAAATCCTCATTAAAGGTGGACAAAGCTCAAAGGAGACCCTATTGGCATGTTGTGGCCACTAAGAAAGTCCTATTTTGTACCATCAAGAATGAAACATGAAATATAGAATATTCCAAGTCACTCAATGGTTCCTCAATTTATGATAAAAAAACATAAAAATAGGGGGAAAAGGTGATGCTTAACCAGTTATGACTTATGGGTAATGCTTTCCTAGTCAAGGATCTTTATTACATGAGATAAGCCTTATAAAGGGCTTAAGCTTTAATGCGGCATATTGTCAGCAATATAAAAAACTGCCCAGATATCCTGAGGAAACTAAAGGTGGATACAAGGGGTTATTATGAAGATCACATCCTCGTATAACAACCTAAATCCACAGGGATTCACAATAAATTTGACATTATTGCAGACACAAATACATTAATGAACTTGGTCACATTTAAGAGCTTATGAAAGAGAATGCTTCTTAATGCTGCAAAGGAAAAAAAACAATTAACAGATACACAACCCAACCTTAGAATCTCATTTATACAATATCAGGCCAGGTACAATCAAACTCACGGAGGGTGTAGTACAACCAACCTTCATGATCATTTGCACTCAGGGCATCAGCAGCTCGTGCACCAGGATCTTTATTGGAGGATCTACACCAGGGGAAATAAAGGTAAGAAATGACCATAAGGATCATGGTCTCAAAAAATCAAAAGAAGATAATGTAATGAAACCTGCAACCTTAGAGAAGATCCTTACATTCGATATAGAACCATGAAAACGCGATGACTCAACTCAAGCTCTCCAACAATAACCCCTGCAACTATTCCTTTGGCGCCGCGATGAGGGAAGTCATACCATCTGCTTCTATATTTTAGGAAGCTATCCAGGAATTCGTGCAATGAAGTGTCAGTAGCCACTGAAAATAACGGAAGGGATAAAACAGAAAGAAATTAACCCATTAGACGTTGCTTCGTCCAAAAGATAACCTTAAGAATATACCGGAGCATGAATTTTGCAATTACAAGATGGCCTTTAACGAGTGGTCTGGGGCACCTGTTAAGTATACTTTATTTGTAATATTTCAATTTTCAAGACACTGATAGTATATAACACGAGAGCAATAAATGCATTGGAAAATGTATAGTTTCCTTAATTAGTTGTTTAACAAGAGCCCCTAATACAATCGTTAACAAAATCCATTACAAAAATCAACAATCTTGTGAAATTTGGCTAAATGTAGTCACAAAACCCCTTATATAGCTTACATAAGCTTATAAGGACAGTACATCTCAAGCAATATTTACATGGAGATACTAAGACTATGTTTACGAACTTTAGTTGCTATTAAGATATAGGATACCTTTCGCCTTCAGTAAAAACTCTTCCCATATCTTCCGCACTGTTCATTAAAAGCTTAACCTCTTAGAAGGAATGGTTGCACTCTCAACTTCAATGTTGTATCAAGTACAAGATACTAGTTCGAATGCTGGCATTCTCTATCATCGTCGTTCTCCCAATTATTCCTGATGTTATGCATGTAATCCTATCCCCGATTATCTCATTGATGTAGATATGTCCACATCTTGTGTTTTGTGGGAGGAGAAGTGCTAAAAATTTGGTTTATATATACCATGTTAACCCTTTTTTAAACAACTTATGCATTTGGGAAAAAAATTGTTTACAATTTTCAGTTGCTTCTGTGTAGTTCTCTATTATTCAGCTTTAGACATCTTGTTCTGACTCCGTATAGTCTTGTGATGTTTTTTTTTTTTTTTTCATTTTCTTTCTTTCTATTCTTGTATATTTCTGATGTACTAAAATCGTTACTTTAATAAAATCTCTTATTTACTACGAAAAAATATTATATAAAAGCAAAGATCTCGAATCACAACCTCTTTCCTCCATTTGTAGATTTCTCTTCTTTATGCATCTTGAGCATCTATAAATTTGTCCACCCACACCACATGTACCGGGTTTCTACACTTAACACTTGAGTCATCATATAGTTCCGTGTGAGGGGAGTGTCAAGATATAAAATGCATTCCACACTGTTTTCTAATTGCTTAAACTTTTAGAACAAAAACCGTTGTGTACTAACTTCAATAGTTGCAAAGGAAGGAAAAGTAAGAGAAAGGGAGAGATAAGAAAAGAAAACAATTGGAAGAAAATATCTGCCTGCCATTAGCTACTTAGATGTAAGTAAAGAAAAAGGAAATAAAGGGTGGTGCAGGAATTGATTCCAAGAGCGGAGAAGAGAAGAGAAAAGGGAAGAAAAATTTCATCTCTCTTTTGCTACTTAGATGTAATCAACGTGAAGAGAAATTAACGAAATAGCATTAAAACCCGCTAATACTGTGTTTACAGAGTCAGTAGTTCGTTGAAGGTGGTGGTAATAATTTTTATCAGCTACAGTTGTCCCACTCTTAAAATGAAACACAAGCCCTGTAATGAGAGAAATCTTTTTGTTCTCCCCCATTTATCGCATACACAAAGCAGTAGACGAAGCCAACATTAACCTAATAGGAAGAGTCTGTAATGAAAGCTTTGTGCTTGGTATTTCTCGTCCCCCTCCACTTCATCCTACTTTTTGCAAGCACATACAAGCCTATGAGAGAAATTCTCTAGTTCTTCCAAATTTACTTCCTGAAAAGTTCCTCAATTACAGCGGAGCTTGAACACGGTGAAGGGTCCTCTGACATTCAAAAAGCAACAAATAAAGCCAGTTCACCATGAAAACTCGAGTTGGAACGGATGTTGAATAAGAGAGCAATTGATAATTCAATACCACGGCAAAAGGTTTTCTATTTGTAATCACTATAGGTGAAAGATTTTTCCTTTTAGGCTGATTGATGCTATCTTATCCATCTGCTATCTTTACCATGACATGACATCCTTTACTACAGACAAATTCACATTTACTCCGATCAAGACATATTACATGCGGTATGATTAGTTAAACTGCACGTTAAAAGGACCCATTTATGACCTGAGGTGTTCTGTTTTGAGGGCCAAATGGCGAAAGCCAACGGTGAGGAATCTCTCCGCTATAAGAAAATGACATGTTGCAAGGGCAACATTTTAGTATTTTTACTTTGGTGTTTTCTGATTTATTTGGTCATTATTTTATGTAGGAGCTTATATGCTCTAGTATCAGGGATTGAACACTCAACACAAAGACTTCTTCGTAGTTTTTCTTCTGCTCTCTCGAATTTTCTCTTCTACTTCCTCTTACACCTTGCTCTACTTATAACTTCTCTGATGATCTTCTCCTTCTCTGGACTCTCTCTTAATCTTTATTCTTCTCTCCTTTCCTCCAATCTATTCCTGTCAAATTCCAATGACACCCCCCACGCCAATAAAACTCCACAGAATAAAATCAAAGCCTGCTAACAACGTCAGGACTCAAGACACTACTGTCACTAGAACATCGGAAATTCGCGCGCAGTCACCAAGTTCATCATCAGGGCAAAAAAATAAGTATCAGAATTCAATTGCAAACCACCGATACCTTCTCTCCAGAACTCTCTGGGCTTGAGCCTGAGCAACCGCGACAGCTCTCCGTTCAGGAGATCCACCACCCGCTGCGACTCCACCGGATCCGACCCTCCCTCCTCGGCGCCGAGCCCGCTCGCCACGGCCTCATCCTGAGGCAAGTAACTCACGAAGCGGCCGCGGCCGCCCCGGGCCCCGGACGGAACCCACCCTCCGCTCTCGCCGGGGCGGACCCTGCCGCCGGCGGCGGAGGAGGGGGCATCCCCCGATCGATCCGAAGCCGGCGGGCCCCGGAGGGAGCTCGAGAGCGTGGCGGCGGGGGTGGCCGGCGATTTGGGGACGAACCGCTGCTGCGGCTTGGCGGGAGGCATTTGAATGAGGAGGAATTTGGTGGGCGAAGGAAGGAGGAGGAGACGATGGATGGAAGGAGGCGAGCGTTACGCTTGGGAGAAGTTGAAGAGACTGATGAGAAAGAGAGAGTCCGCGAGTGATTTTCAGCCGCGCGTCCACGCGAGCGCCTGCGTGATGCCCAAGGAGATGGTGAGGGGGCGACTCTTATATTTATTATTTCTTTTTTTCGGTTCTTTTTATTAATAAAATATTTTTAAGCCGTTCATTTTGAAAATTTATAATTTCCTTTTTTCGGCTCTTTTTATTAATAAAATATTTTTAACTCGTTCATTTTGTAAACACTAAAATAAAAGTTCTTTCATTTAAGTCCGTGATTTTTGGCTAAAAATTGTTCAGGTGTCCACTCAAAATTACATCCAAAATCTTTCCAAGGGGGAAGATGTCATAAATAAATTAAAAAACATTTGAAACTTTAGACGTTTGTCTTTACACGGTAATTTGCATGTACAAACATGTTTCAAGTGTTTGACACCCAACAAAGTTAGATATTTGATTGGACCTGAGCAGATCAGGCTTTACGAATAACGATGAAGATGGGGATTGAAATGTATTAACATTCTTTTTTTACCGTTAAGAATCTCACAGGTATTGAAACCATTAAAGAAAGACCCAATAACTTATTAGATATTTTACAAAGTATTTAAAATACATGAAAGAAAAATCATTCGGATAATATTTCCAAAACAGTTGCAAATGGATCAGCATTGCTGGTTTCAAAATTGCAAAGCGTACATTACCCACAATAGTACCTAAAATTACTACTGAAAACACATATGAAAGATCGTTGAGCCATGTGAATTCTCCCTAATAATTAAGACCCATCCCTTTAGCCAATTTAGCTCTTAATATAGGATCTTGTTACATTTCATTAACTCTGTTATTAAGAATTGAGCTCGCACCACATGAAATCGAACTTTGAATATAGCAATGTCATGGATTAGTTGCCTAATGCACATGGGAATTTTCGACCACTAGCTTAAGCTATAAATCGAACTGCGATACAGACGTGATGGAACCACGTGAGGAGGCAATTATAGGCACATCACGCTTACTGGTTCAGCATCCTGTAACTTCTAGGACAAGCATCTGATGTCGCGAGTTCGTAGATTTTCAGAGAGGAGCAAGAGAAAGCATTTCTGCTTCATTGACTCAGCATTTTTCTCATCCATCGTGCGCGGTCTCCAACTTATAAGGAAAGAAAAGGGTCAATTGATTTCCGCACTAAAGATATGAACAATGACAATAAAGAGACAAAAACTAAAGGGAGCAGAGATCTAGATTTGAGACACCTTCTATAAGTCTAAAGAACTCGAACTTGATCTAGATAAAAGTACAAAAAATTCCCTCCATAAGAAACTACTCTTTTCCCATCGGCATCACACAAGCAAAACATCTAGGAGCCAGAATGAATGCGATACCAATTTTGCCGGTTCAATAGAAGAGGAAGGATCGGTTAAACGACTTTCCTTCTTTGACTGTGGGCAGCCTTCCATTCTCCCAAGCATGCCGGCCACGCTGGAGACCGCTGTATCAGTGCCTTTTCAGTTCTCAATCTTCACAACATTGACAAGTAAGTACAGAAGGAAGGAAATACAGTGTAGCTACAAGGACAGAGAATCTGAAACACTTTTATTTTCTTTGTCAAGGAAACCTGACACAAGACTCGGAGGTAGACAAGAAGAACCCATTTTATGACCTTAAAATCCATCCATGCTGTTAGGGGTACTCTGTCGCTTCCTTCTATAAACAATTTCCTATTCCTTGAGGGAAAGATCCGAGTTTTCTTTGCAACAGTTCCTCAAAAATAATGTAAATCAACTCATATCACAGTGTTATGATCAAAATTCAAACACGCATCAACGAAAATCTGTTCATTCATCAAAATCATGTTGCCTAAGAAAAAAAGCATTCCGATGTAAGTCCACTAAATTTCTATGTTCATGTACAAAACTGTTTACAATTCTAAATCTCTCCTGCCATTTATCACTAGGGACTAATCGTTCTTAGTCAGAGGATCCACACGGGATATCCCAAAACAAACCTCAAAGGGCCACTGTCAGCACGGAAGCTAGATAAGAAGCATATATAATCTTCGAGAAAGATTCAAAACTACTATTTCAAAAAAAAGCACATGGTTCTTCATGTAAAAGCAGATTGAAGATATTGCTCCATTAAATAAAAATACTAACTCTTACCTCCAGCCAGAGTAATGCTCAAGCCTGAACTATATTATACTTTATCAACTAGAACAGTTCAAAAGTGTGCGGTCAGATCCTGAGGACCTGAAAGCTCCCCTTAAATTGAACAGTAAGCAATCTTTAAGTTCCAGGAGTACCTGCTGATACCAGGAAGCAAAATTTTTTTCACGATGGTTGCTGTACAAGGTACAATGTACACAGAACTGGTTAAACTAATTCCCCAACATGCTGTCGAGCATCAATGGAGCCAGATCTGATTCTCCATTCACAAAGGCACAGATGATTGCCAATGCCAACAGAATGTACTTTTCTGGGTAGCGCCTTTCCTTATTAAATGTCACACGACAATGAGAAGCAACCATCTGCAAGGCATTAATGTACATGCTCTCAAACTGCCATTAACTTAATAAGATCACACCCACTCAAAGTTCGTTTCTTTTGGCAAAACCAACACAAGAAGGCAGTTGACTGGATTCGGAGCGATTGAGAGCAGAGAACAAATGTCCTGTGAATAAGGAAGAATAAACAGGAGCCTTGCCCATATAGAATTTACAGCAGGAATTTTAATAACTCCAGCACATTCCCTCTGCTTCAAGTATGATATAAAATCCTGAAACTGAAAAAAACATTGGTAAGACCTCAAGCAAATGTTTCACAAAGGGGGCAATGATCAATATGGATTTACACCACTATGTGAGGATACACAAATAACATAAAGGCTTGTAATCAATGAAAGGCGATGAAAGCTGAGAGACAAGATTGAAATGTTAAGGATTTGCTAGAACTCGCCTATAGTTGTCCAAACCACCATTTTTCCAAACCGCCATTTTTCACCGCTTCAAATCAGGTGTGTCTAGAAAACATTAAAATTTCTTTTTGATCATTACAATGGATTAAATTTTCATTTTTCAGAATAGACTAGAACAACCTGAACATGTCGCCGTTGAGCAAAAAAGCCTTTAACCATTATTTAAGTGTACCTTGCTGATTTGTCATAAACAAATAGATTATTAGGCCAGGTATCTTTTGTCAATATGACATATTCACATCTATCTGGTGATTCTAATCAGGTAAGTAGTGAACTTCAGTGAACAGGAAAAACTACGACAGATCTACAATCCAATAAATTTCTACCATAAAAGGGGGTATGGATAAAAAGTTCAGTTGGTTTTCATAATTTGATCAGTTGTTAGCTATACCAACAACGAGAATATGATAAAGAAGACAAGTTATCAACTTACGCCTTTATAGTCAGCTGCAGAAGACGGGATCAGCTGGCACACTTCTCTCTGCATCACAGGGCAACCAATGAGAATACCATTAAGAGTTCTGAAACAACTATTACAGGTGTAGAAAGAATTTCTCTTTTCTCAGCATTAGATAAAAATTTTGGAACCTAATAATATCAAGGATTTTGGTAAAGAGTACCCTACACTAATTATGAGGAAAGCTTGCAGCCATGATATGTGTAGTCAATGCTTTGGAAATTGAAACCTACCTTATTAAGTATACTTAACCAGAGCTCTTAAGGAACTCAAATACTTAACCCTGATATTAATATGACCAAATCGTAAGCAAACATATTGTTAAAGTATTGTTCTAAATGCATATCACAACAAATCCAACATAAGGTACCAATGCAATGATTAACTGCACAAAGGAGAGGTTGATAGAACACTTCAATACAAACACATTGACATTAAAACATCAAATCTCCGGGCAATACCCATTTATAACAAACCAAATTCACTGATTAAGCTACACAGTGGAAACTGAAGCACAACAGGTTTGAGGACAAAAAAAAAAGAGCAGAAGTTGATGCTACATATCCTCCTTAAACTAAGGCTTCAAAGTGTTCAGTGTAAGTAGCTGTTCAAGGGACATCAGCAACAGACAGAATTATCTAGAACAATATCTCCCTTGCTTGGATCCAGACTTTCTGGCAACAAACTAAAATTTCTCCTAGCAAAAGATCAGTTCACAATTCCAATCCTGAAGCAGCACTTTGTCAAACTTAAGTTTCACAGTTCAAACTAACCCGGCCTAATTATATACTCGCAGACAGTTTTGCTAATCTTGTAAGGATCGTTAGAAAAACTACACTAACCAAAAATCTCCCACTTCAAGAATTTTTCTGATTCTATCCCAAACTTTGAAAGCTTAATACAGTCTACAAACAAAATCCAGAAGTAGCTGTTTGACAAACAAAGAAATCAAAGTTAAAACCACACAGGCACAATTGTATAAACACAATTTCTTTTCCTCAACCTTGAAAGCAATAAAAACTACCCCCAAATAACTAGTAAATCCAATCTTTAAGGATTTTTTTTTACTTTACTCTATAATGAACTTCCAAATCTACCCTTAGCTTTTACTTCTACAATTTTAATAAATACCACATATACAAAGAGATATACACAGATCTGGAACCACTAAATAAAACTGGACAGGAACGAACCATATGACTAGCAATTACTCTTACCTTTGTTTCTTTTCTCTAGTTGATGAGGCATTATTTTAAGGCCACAATAACTACTTATTAGAGGTCATATTGTCAGACTAACCAATTATTTAAGTAGGGATACAATTGAAACTGACGGCAAAGTCAAGGGTGAATTGAAAGTTTTTGAACTTCAAGGTAATTAGGGTGGTGGAACCATGAAAACACAGGATTTCCGAGGTAGGCCAGAAGATAAGATTAAATGTAAGATAGCAAATGAAAGAACAAGCAACAAAAAGTAGCGCACTCACCCTATGTGGCGGAGTACTGGTAAAGGTTGACCTTACATGCCGAAAATCAGTACGTTTTGTCATATCTAGTTTAACAGGCCACCTGCACAAAATATCAGCATGAAAACAGCCTTAGTGATTAGTTCAACCCAAGAAGTTGATGCAAAAGGATGACGACATTCTTACTCAGTAGGTTCAGAGAGGCCATTTGAATATTTGCACGTATTTGACTCCACTCTGAATGCATGAATTGTGCAGTAGTGAACCCCACTCTTAGATAATTTTCCCTGCCACTTGTACTGAGGATCATGTCCTGACCTTTTCTCGTTGGAGGATTCTCCAACAGGGGGAGGAGGTGGAGGAGGGGGAGGAGAATTTGGTGGAGGGGGGGCTGAAGGTGGTTGTGACTGAGGTAAAGGAGGGGGAGATGGAGGTAGCGGAGGTGGCATATCAGGCTGAGGTGGCTGGGATGTCAAAGGCACAGGAGGGATAAAAGTTTGGTCATTTCTCACCAAGTTTCCCTGTATCTGCGCCAGAGGGGTCACAGAAGGAGGAAGATAAGGGGCAGCAACAGCATTGGTTTGAAAATTACTTTGCACTGACCCCGTTACTGGATTCATGGACATGTGATGACTAGAACCTCGTACATCCCATGGATTGGGCGGGGTAAAATACATGGGTCTCATGTATGGAGATGCCGGAATTTGCTGAGGTGCCAGAACAGGGCCTTGCGCTGCGATTGGCATGCATGATATACTCCCGGAAGCTGACTGCTGTTCTGCTTCAGGCTTGTTGTACATCCATGCTCCTCCATTAGTACAAGAAACCATAGGTGGACCTGCAAGTTGTGAGTCAATACACAGCTCCTGCTTCTAAATGGCAGATGAGTTAGCGCACATGAATAAGTACCACACTGTGAAGAATCCACCACCATGTTCTGCTCAGCACCACTAGAAGCATCCCAGTGCGCATTTTGTACTGCGGTTCCATTGTTTTCAGGTCTCAACCTTGGGGAGACTAAACCCATCGAACTACTCTCTGGGTTTAATGAGACAGGAGGGACTTGTTGCTTTTCCAATTGACTGTTCAGAAATTCAAAAAGGTAAGTTCAAAAGGCAGGGAATTTTGCAAAAAGCTGATATGGAAGAATTAAAAGCAGATATTCCCATTCCAAAAACACTAGCAGATAATATACTACCTCAGAAACAGACTTTCAGAAAGCATACACAAATTGCGAGCACTTGTAACAGATTTTATCCTCAACAGATGGAAAAGTATGGTCTAGCTTTTGCAACAAAAGCCCCCACATTTGGACTCTTTCTTTGATTTTGATCATGTGACAGATGGAGAGACATAAAAACAACAGCGAAAACAACAATGATAAAGATGAAAGAAAGTAAATTAATCAGAAGAATCCAAAAACACAGCCCAAACCTGAATTCAATCTGAAGGAACATCTGAGGACAAGCCTGAAGATTTCTCAAAACAGAAAAGGCAGCATCAACGCTGCTGCACTCAACCACCCAGCCACATCCCACATGCGTATTATTGCGGGTCACCTGACTGATGGAGCCTACATTGCCAATAGCAAGTTTGCAAATGGCCAATATTTCATCATCCATGATGTATGAGTTGACATTCGGAGGATGCTGTATCCAAAGAGTGCTTGATGGCATTTTATTTTCTCCTCTCAAGGTTGCAGATTGCCAGTTTCCAACATTATACTTTGAACGCAACGAAGAGAGTAAAGAACGTAGCTGAGACATCCTAGAGCTGCCAGCAGGGCTCTGAGGCACTGTCTGAGACTGAGGCGAGCCAACATTATTGTTAGAAAAGCTTGCATAGTTATTGCTTCTTGAAGATCCAGGAGTATCCATGGGAGATATTCTAAAATTACTTGGCCCTGGTGGAAGGCGTTTAATCATTTCCATTCGATAATGTCTTAGATGAGTCATCACAGCAGAAGCTTCCTCGGGAGTTTCAAACTCCAGTAGCATCGCACCTTCATTGCCTAGATCAGTAACTGCATAAGGGCCCTTGTAAAGTGCTTTCCTTGATTCATTCAGTAACTCGTCCTTCATCCACTGACCCAAAACATTCCCAATATAAACAAAATTGCTATAACCAACGGCCACACCATTTATAGATCCCCGAGTTCCTAGTCCTATATCCAAAAACTTAATGTACCATGGAAGATGTCTTCGCATATGATTCCGAGCCCTAATAGAATCCATGATATTTCTGTACTCAACAAGTGCAAACTGTTTTCTTGGATAGAAAAATAAATGTTCGACAGGACCAAACTTATCTGCCTCAAATCTCACATGAGCTTCAGATACATCGGGACCCAAAGCACCCACCCACAGCTGCTTAGAAGCAGAGTATACATCCATAGCTGCCGGTTCACCATCAGAGAACCAAACTATTTGACTCGGAAAGCCACTTGGTACTGCATAATTACCTTTAGGGGAATTCAAACTATTCGGGGCACTTCCTGCAGAAGGTCTCATGTGAGGTGAGGTTGCCTCTGTTTTAGAGACGTGATTAGAGTCAATATTAGAAAAGTCCTTCCTCCCTTTAAATGAATTAGCCCTGGAATATAACTGTTTTCTGTTACCAGGTGAAAGCAAGTGGTGCTCGGGCACATCTCTGGGTGTGCAAGAAGATATGTTACCTGAAAATTCACCATTTTCTACAATCTCAAGGCACAAGGAGCTGGATCCTGAGCGACCACGATCACCAATCTTAGAGTGATGATCCATACCGAGAGGAACTACACAAGCCTGAGGTTTTAAATGTCGATTAGGGAATTTATGGGTAAAATCTTCACTGCACGATCCATTATGAGATCTTACATTATCATCTTCCCAAGATGATTTGCTGGGGATAGCACGCTGATTAGAAACCCCACGCCTCAAATAATGTCCATTAAAAGATGTGGACGGATCAGAATCATCTTCATCACTCTCCGCTAGACTCTCCTCTAAGTTGACCAATTCGCTCAGAGATTCCAAGCGGGCTTCAAAGGCAGATAATGTTTCTGATATAGCTTTAGAAGATGCCAATCTTTTTAATTTCTTCAACTTCCTGACAATCCAACTCCTCAAGGATGAATCTATGGCAATTGCCTGCGTTAAGAAGCTAGTCAACAGACGCTACCACTGAGAAGCCATATAAAGATAATTCAGCCACATCATTAACTCATGTGTAAAAGATCACAACTTCATCAAACATTTGCCATGTTCAACAAAAAGTTACCCTTCTCACCAATTATTAATATGGGGAAGTCCAACTTGAAATTCGGTCCACTTATACAGTTTGCATTTTCACCGAAAATATGGGTTGGACCAGGTTTGACCATATTGGACAGCCAACTGAGTCAACTGAGCAGGCCAGTCCAACCTCACAGGTCCCAACTTTACATGATTTCAACCAAGACACTTACTACAGTCTTCAGTTAGAAAAAGAAAAAGAAAACAGTTTGAGATTGGCAGTTCAAAGACTCTCTAGTCCCTGTCTAGCATGTAGCTACGAGCACTCGCTACTAGAACATTGAACTACCTTGACGACATTTATTGACTTAATCCCTTGTACTTATTGTCGCCTTCAGTTTGAACACATGCCCCTTCACCTATTTGATCAAATCATTTTGCTAAACCAAGACACATGCATGATGCTAACGAGATCATCCATCCTTCAAAGGCAATTGTGAGATGCTGTGAACAGAGACCAGAAAGGCCTTTACAGTTATAAATGATTCTCCCAAGTTCGCTTTGAGGAAAATATCCACTAGTTATAAGCAGAATGACATTAAATGTGACATCATAAAAGAACCACAACATAGAACATCAACCGCATGATTTAAATCACTTTTCATTCTAGTAAGTAGCAGAATCTGGAAATTTATAGTTCTAAAGGGGCAAGACAATCATCTTTATTACTGGCAATTATTATGAGACATTTAAAAGTTGTAGCCTGTAAGCAAGCAGCACACTCCAGCCAAGGTAAATCATTGCCTATAAACACTTCTAACAAAAAGCTGCCACTAGCATAATACGGTAAAGAGCAAGAACTAATGCTGATATAAAAGATAATGACAGGATGAAGAGGAGAGATTCAAGTATTACCAGTCCTAACAAGCAATTCTTCGGAACTAAAGATCCATTCATAGAGGAACTTTCACCATCTAATGGTAGGTCTGCACTCACAACCTCATTCCTGTCTCTGCTGGTTCTAACAGAACCTGTACATGACTTAGCTTCATCACTTGAGTTATCCATAAGGCAAGCCACATCATCAGCATCAAGCCTGCTCGTTACCTGATTTAGGAAATAAAACCCTCTGTTTTGAGTTCCTTCCATTACAGAGGAGTTAAGGAGCTCAAAACAAGCCTCGAGCATGTTCTTAGTACAAGCAAAGAAGATCCGAAGAGTACTCAGCGCACGAAACTTAGACAATCTAATAAGTGGAGAATCATCTCCACCTAAATATTTCAGCTTGAGCTCAGAAAAAATCTCATCAGAATCTGGCATCTTCAAATTTTGTTTACCGATGATCTGGATAATACTACTTCCCTCAAAAGAGGATATGAAAAAGTTGAGCACATTGTTAAAAACAGCTGTGCATATGCCTTGGATAACAGATGACGTCGGTGCCGATGAAGAAGCTGCGCCGCAAACATCAACTAGACCAAGAATGCAAGCTTTAGAAGTCTGAAATGCAATTCCATCAGCATCCTCTCCCTTTGTTATAATTGCAAGGTTCCAATTGTACATATTGACTAAGACTTTTGCTGCAGCTTCTAGAGCAGTCAGACAGTATGACGCATATCGTGGAATAAGATCAACCACAATCCGTTGCACACTAGAACAACCTGTGTAGAGAAAAAGGAGGGAAGCATTTTCTCCAACTCATCAGTCTTTAGATGAAGAGGCAGGATAATTGAAAACAAAAACGAACAATCCCTTCACATGGCACGGTAAGGGCATCTTCCAGGATACACGCATAAATTTGATGCACCCATACTAGATGGATAAGATGGATCACTCAGAGCACAAAAACCATAGCAACCCAGAAAATGTAAACATGTGTAAGTTTGAGTTCTAAATAGCATAGCAAAAGAAAATCCTCAAACAACAAAAACAACAGCCAACTAGAGGTCGAAATGAAACGAAAAAGCTTGTGATCACAAGATAAGAAACCAGATAAATCTTTTGGGTCAATATTTTTTTCTCATTGTCTAAAAAAAGCAATTAGCATAGATCCACAACCAGATCCAACTGCATTGTGATCCACAACTAACAAATATCTCAAATATATGGAATCAAACAATCAACAAACAACTTTATTGTATCACAAGATGCTTCTCCTCAGGATCTAATGTTTATGTACGGAACTCATCCACTACTTTATATTTATGACAGAGTAATTAAGTTCTTAAACTCTTTAACGATTTCAATCAACTCCTTACATCTCTCAAATATATCTGGCCAGAATCATACATGACACTTATATCAGTGGACTAAACTTCCAGCCTATTAAGAGACACATTTTTCTGAGAAAAAAATTCATAAGGGATCCAGACAAATGACTTTTGGGAAATTTTTCATCATATGAGGCTACATATATGTCCAAAAATTTACCAAAAATAATGTCTAGGCCGTCAAATCTCATTTGGATCCAGAAAAGTGAGGAGTTCAACAAAACTTGCAAGAAACACAAACGTAACCTTAGCTTAAAATGGTTAAGTTGATCCACATAGACCAAATTACATTTCAATTAACTGCATATGTAGTACTACAAACCCAGTAAACTACAACCAGTACTAAATTTCAATTATATCAAATGATGCTAACTAAAAGCCGGTCAATTAGGTCTGAATATTGAAAATTCAGATTCTATCATGATTCATATAAGAAAGGTAACAAAAGACCCAATTGAGTTCTTTAAAAAAGTTGGAGGACTTACTTGCTCAAGCGAAAAGCTAAAGATTGAATCCACTTACATATACAATTTTAGGACATCTAGCTCAATAAAACCCATAAATTAAAATAAGTAGGTTGTCTTTTGACATAAGAATCTGAGTCCAGTATAGCCGATGAAATTCAACAGATAAATTACCATGGCACAGTTACATATCATTCTCAATCAAAGCTCGATCTCATGAGTATAGTGATAATCAGCCTTCTCCACTCAGCCAATGATAGGTTAACTTTTTTGTACTGATCACTCAAAGAAGCAGCTCGCCAGGATGCAAGCTGCTAAAACAGGAAGGAAAACCGCTTACGGTAGACACACAATTCTTTACCTTAAAGATTCAATGTTTGCATATCCTTGCACACGAATTTTCTTTATCTTACATGAAAAGGGCAATTTTAAAACAACAACCAAATGCACTAAAATAACTTCAACCTATCCCACACTGTAAATGTGCCACTTAACAGATCACACAAGATGCTCAAAAAACAACAGTAAACTGTGTCACTTTTCACATTAAAGAAGTATGAGAAGCCACTGGCAGTGTTGCTGATCCTAAAGACTAAATGAAGTACAATGTACGGACCACTACTCCATGAGAGAGAGAGAGAGAGAGAGGGAGAGGTTTTTCTATTGAAGCGAGAGGTGGATAAAGCCACATCAGAAAACTAATTCCCTAATTAAAACAAGGTCTAGTAATTGCATTGTGAAGTGAACCAATCTTATCAGCAGAGAAACAGTCAGACAGCTTTCCAGACAAATAAGTTATCCAACGAGACAAATTGGTGACTGCCCAACAAATCTAGCAGCTAAAACCATGTTTTCACGTCTTCACAATGGCAGCATCAGTCTGCAGTGAGCCAAGTTCCTGTTTACATCTTCTCTTTTCTGGTTATGATGATTGCCATGTTCCTTTCTTTGGAAAAAAAATTTCTGGACCCTTTCTAAATTAATGTACTCGGAGAAAGTTCCCATATCTATGTCTAATTTACAAAAAGAATTTGCTTTTCTTACCAATTAGTCTTCTAAAGGCAGCAGCTAGTTCCAAAAGACAAGTCAACACAAGTGTCATGAATATGGAAAATCAAACGACTTCCGTCCCATTGTTATGGAGACGAAATCAACAATAAGGTTCTATTTTGCTTCAATCCCTAGAGAGTTTTCAACCCATGGAGAGTGCGCTGATCATTCAACATGAAGTGAGAAAACAGTAGAGCACGGACCAGAGATAGCTTAGAAGAACCAATTTTGCTCGATCAATAAGATCAAATTTTATCAAGGAGAAAGAACAGAAAAGCACTTAGACATTAGAAATTATCATCATTACCAACCTCAACAATCAAAACACATGACACAAGCATCTCACTCGAACCGGTCACTACACCGACTAGAATCAATCCGAACATACGACGACAATCGCGAGAGAGGGAAATCGCTCTCACCTTGCGCGGCAGCAATGAGGGACAGATAAGCCTGTTCCAAGTCGGGCACGAGGCGCGGCTCCTTCTGACCAATGCAAAATCTAATCCGCTTGTAGGCCTCGTACACGGCCCGAATCGCTTCCCTGTTCCTCCTCCTCGCGGCGATGTCCTCCTGAGACGGCGGCCCCGGGGGCGAGGGGGGCGCAGGCGGCGGAGGCGCCGCCGCGGCGAGGAGGTCGGGGCGAGCTAGGGCTTGGGGCGGCGGCGGCGGCGGCGGCTGGGGCGGGGGCTGGTGGGGCGGGGGCGGGGGCGTGGACGGCGGCTCCGGTCGGGGCTCGTAGAGCTTCCGCTTCTTCAGGGGCTGCTCGGACGCGGCCATGGCTTGCGAAGAGAGGTGCGGTGCACGCGCTCCCGTCTTCCTTTTGTGGGAACGGAGGCAAGGGCGAAATTATTTCTCCGAGTGGGAGGAAACCGAAGCCGTGAAAGGACGCATGTGCCCCTGATGTTAAAGCCCATTTCTCACGTTTTACTTGGGCTTTTGTCCTGGGCCAAGCCCAAAGCTCATATTTGAGGAGGTCCATTTCCACATGCCAAACTTTTACTTCTTTTTTTTTTTTTTTAAATTGACATAAGCAGTCCATGAACTTTGGCCCAATATATAATATGATAATTGCGTCTCCCTTATCTTTCTCATTTTTTTTGGTTAATATCACGAAAAACCTCAAACTGGTATACCTGTGACAAATTTATTATAAACTAATTTTTTGACCACAAAAGATCCTAAACTGTAAACTTGTGACAAATATATTCCAAACTAATTTTTTGACCACCAAAAACCCCAAATCGATACGCTTGTGATAATTTTACTCTCCGTTAAACTAAATTAATACCATGAAAAATTACAAACAGGTAAACTTGTGAAAAACAAAGGGATAAAACCTTAAATTGGTACTTCCATCAACTGCCACGTGTTTTCCAACTCGGCAATTTGATGGTAAAATTTCACGAAAACTAACGGAGGGTAAATTTGTCACATGTGTACCAGTTTGGGGTTTTTTGTAGTAAAAAAATAAATTTGAGGTAAATTTATCACAAGTATATCAAATTGAGATTTTTTGTGGTATCAACCCTTTTTTTTTTTTTTATGTCTCACATCTTTGTATTTATCTCCAAGGTTTTTCAACTCGATCCAGTCTTGTTATTCATTGAGACTTAGATTACCTAAAACGAACTGATTTGATTGACGATTCAACCGATTAATCGGCGAACCAAACCATTATTTGGATCAAATTAGCCCGGTCTGGCACGTGCCGATAGACCATTTGGGCTCTGAAGTTGGTAATCACTTGGCTAGACCACCGAGAGGTTAGAAACGAAATTATAGGAGCCTTGCAAAGAGGAGATTTGATCCTGGGAATGGAGTGTGAAATGAACGTCTCAACTGAAACGTGTATAATTTATATGTGCGATGAAAACATAATATGTACATAATATTAAACTTTCACTTTAGCTGCTAGGAGTGTCAAAATTGAACCGGAACTGGAATTGGAACCGAACCGAAATTTCCAGATTCGAACCAAAATTTCGTGCATTTTCGGTTCGATTCAGGTTTCGGCTCAAATAATGAAAAATAACCATTTTTATATTCCGATTCGGATAGTTTCGGTATTGAACTGAACCGAACTGAAAATTGCCCCTCTTCTTAATACTATAGTTTACATAATCTCTCTCTTTTTTCACTAAACATTTTATTAATGTTACAGAAAAAGAAAATAAAAAACTAAACCAAAAAGGGTTTTTACTTCGGTTCGGGTAGCAGTTTGGTTCGGTTCAATTGCTCACCCTAATGGTTCAGTTCGGTTCGGTTCATTGAGATGAATAATTAACTTTGAATTACTTCTAGAAAGGGAAGTATATTTAGTTGTAAAGGCAATGTTGGCTAATTCATCAAATTCTAAGTAAAATACTAACTTAAAACCTTTTTTTGAGATGAATATTTTTATTTTTTGATGTAAAATGTAAGTAGTATTTATAAGTTAACGTATAGAAGCTTATGGGCATTCCCCAGTATTACAAATAGAACTAAGATCACAAAAAAATGGAGTGAGGGAGTCTCCATATAGTAGCAAATATTTCATTTGTTCGGGATGGTCTAAAAGATTTGTAGTGCAAAACTCGCCCTCTCACAAGTTTGCGAACTTTAGCCAAAATAATAAGGGCATCATTTGACTTTTGTTGGAAGAGTCTATGTTATGCTCCATCCAAATGCAATATATGATCACTAGGAAAGATACCTTCAGAAGTCTCGCCGCCAAGTCCCCCTGATCATCCATATGAGTTCATCATTCCATCTTCCTAAAGAACACCGAATTCCGTATTGTGCAAGGATAGTAAGCCAAATGCTTCCTGTCCAGATGCACTGGAAGAATAGATGTTCTATACTTTCCAGACCAGATATACAGAAATTACCGTGGATATCTACTTTAGGCTTCCAATGTGATACAATTTCTGTTGTTTGTAGTCTATCGCTACAAACTAGCTAGTCGATAAAGTTGTGCTTGCTGATACCTCCTTTCCATATCAATTGGAACCATCTTACAGCCGGTCTTACACTTTGGTTTCATCTTATACCTCTTAGCAACAATATCTTGGTCTAGATATGACTGAAGTTAAAGCCGATCTCAGTTGAAGAATACAACGCCAACTCCATGCCATAGCACCCTTGATTTCAAGCTGCATAATCTAATTGCCTCGACACCAGGTACTGTGAATTTACTCCACAAGGAAGACGATGGACAATTTATGACGTTCCAAAGCATACAACCAAGCAAAACTTTATTCCATAATTTTAGATGAAGCAGCCCTATACCTCCTTCCTTTATTGGCGAACAAACAACTTCCCAAACAACTTTGTGTGATCCATGGCCTTCTGTATTTCCAACCCATAAAAAATGTCTTATCTTCTTTTCAATTTCATATATGGTTTGCTTCGGAAGTAAAACATTTGCATCCAAAAGGTATAGATAGAAGTAAGTACCAATTTGGCCAACTGGAGACGATCGGCGTAGCTAATATATTGCATGCCCCAGCGTTCTATTTTTTTGAAGATTTTATCAATCAGACTCTTACAATCTGCGTGCGTGAGTCGTCTTGTGATACGCGGAACACCAAGGTATCTAATAGGGAGGTTACCTGTGGGGAAATGTGTGTGATCCAATATAATTCATTTTTCTTCCTCGGACAACCCAGAGAAAAAGATTTAGTATTTATCTGGATTGAAGTGCAGTCCTGTGAGAGCTGCAAATTCATCAAGTACATCAACAAGGCAAATGACTGAGGCTGCATTTGGGAAGGCTTTTGGGGAAAGCCTTTGGAGAAAAGCAAAGATCTTTAGTTTAAAGGGTTTTAGTGAAATGCAAAGACTGTTTGGTAAACTGTAATTGAAAAGTGTCTTGGGAAGCAACTTTTGGGAAATGCTGTTTGGTAAACATATATTTGGAGAAAGTCCTTGGTTTAACCAATTTAAGTTTTTTAATTTTAATTTGTTCAAAATTGAAAAAAAAATAATGACCGTAATTTTTATATTTTCGCGTTTAGAGTAATGTAAAAGAGATATATTAACAAATTAATAAATAAATAAATCACATCTTTACAAAAAGAGAGTAATTTAATTATAATAAACATTGTCACATATGCATCGAGGAAAAAAATAAATTGTCATTGAAATTTACAAGCATCCTTAAGTATTTATTAAACTCATTGCTATTTGATCACGTAAACGTGTCATATCAAAAAATAAATTATCATTTGAAGCACTACCCCATCATTCATATCATCAAGATCAACTGAATATCCATAACTGGGATCCAAATCTGCTCTTGCAAAATGTTTATCATTGACGGCATTTCTTCGTATATAATTGTGCAAGGTCGCTGCTGCTATAACAATTTTCACTTGCTTCTCAAACGGATAACTTGGTATATGCGTTAGAATCTTCCACTACTTCTTCAATACACCATAGGCTCGCTCAATTTATGATCTTAGCAAGGAATGATGACGGTTGAATATCTCCCGATAACCTGAAGGTATTGGACCTTGTCGAAATTCTGGCAAATGATATCTAACTTCTTTGTATGGCCCTAAATAACCTGTTTGATTTGGATATCCGGCATCTACTAAATAATATTTACCTACACAAATATTATGTAAATTTAATCAATATATACCATATTGATACATACTAATACTCTAATGCACAAAAACCATTAATAACGAACCTGGAGGAAAACGAGGAAATTGTACATCACATCTTCCGAGGGATTCATAGAAGATACGAGTATCATGAGCTTGTCCCTCCCAACTAGCCAAAACATACGTAAATTCCATGTTAAAATTACACACCGCTAATACATTTTGAGTCGGTGTTTCTTTTCAACCTATAAAACGAATCTGATCGTACAAAGGTACCACCGCTGGGATATGTGTGCCATCAATAGCTCCAATGCAATCCTGAAACGAAAACCCAAACATTATTGTATAGTTGAAATTTATATTTAATTATTCATTTCTATTGTATAATCTAAATGTACCTTAAAATATGGATAAAATCTCCGATTATTTCTGATCTTCTCTGGAACTTCCCTAAATTGCCGATCAATTGGTTGGATTAAATCTTTTCCCATTTCACATACTTTATCTAATACTAAGCTAAAGTACCTACTTACAGTTTCCCCGGAGCGTTGAAAACGCTCCTGTGTTAACCTGTTACTTATACTGTGTCCTAAAATGTGAAGAAACATTCCAAGCATTTCTGTAACATCAATATTCCTAGTTCCTTGAAGACCATAGCGTGTCACTAAGTCATGCGTTAAACTATTAAATACAATTTTATCCATTCTAAACATTTGATAACACCTTATCGGATTAGCATCTTTGCTCATTAGCTCTCCTAACCATGCATTTTCTGGATATGACGATGTCATACAAGGTACTTTGTAACTGTATATTGCATGATAAGCAACTGCACATTGACCAGCTCCCACAAGTTACCAATATTCCTCTTCCCCATTTTCATGGTTTTCCCATTCAAGAGAATCATCCATAACTGTCAAAGTAATAAAATATAGAGCTACAATAAGAAAAGTGATGAATAATGTAGATCATCCATCGATGGAACAATTATATCATCCATCATATATATGCAAACTTTACCCAATCAAAAAATCACCAACTGAAAACATGTCTCACATTAGAACATAAATAGAAATAAGGTTCACAAGTAGTGCAAGCACAGTGCAAAACACCAATTGAAAATATGTGTCACATTACAACAATGTAGAAAGAGTTCAAACAAGTAGCTACATCCTAGCAATGACTATTATCCTCTTCCAACTTAAACTTGAGCCACTCGACCTTTTCTACATCTCCATCCAAGTTCATGA